GTGTGTTTTATCGTAAGGTTTTTGCGTTTTTCTGTAAAACGTTTGCATCGAGCATCCGTGTTCCCACAAAGCATCCATGTCCGAACATGTTAACGTCCACACAAAGTCCGTCCGTTCCCACAGAGCATCCATGTCCCAACCATGTTCACGTCCACAACAAGTCCGTCCGTTCCCACAGAGCATCCATGTCCCAACCATGTTAACGTCCACACAAAGTCCGTCCGTTCCCACAGAGCATCCATGTCCCAACCATGTCAACGTCCACACAAAGTCCGTCCGTTCCCACAGAGCATCCATGTCCCAACCGTGTTAACGTCCACACAAAGTCCGTCCGTTCCACAGAGCATCCATCTCCCAAAGCCTTACGTCCAACCCCTCTAAGAAGCCACGATAATCATATAAATATCAATAATTTACAATCATGATTACAATCACGAGTATTTTGAGTATCCTGTTGGGCAAGGTCGTTGTGAATCAGTTTCTTGGGCGCTTGAAGCTGCACAGAGTTGGACTTCTAGAAGGATTACCCCAAAACTAGCTTATGCTCAAAACTCCCACGCCTGCCACGTAAGACAAACCTTAAAGCAGCCCAAAGTACTAGTGAAAAAAACGCGACAGGCTTAAGGTTTCCCAGCCATTCCTTTCGTTTAGGGTTTCTGTATCTCCTTTCAGGGCTCGGGGTTTGTCAATAGCAGCTTCTCTGCAGGCCTTGGATCAGCCACCATCTTCTTTCAGGGTTTGGGTTTTCCATCCAGTTCTTTTGTTTTAGGGTTTCAGCATCTCCTTTTAGCGTTCGGAGTTTGTCAATAGCAGCTTCTTTGCAGGCTGTGGGTCAACGAACATCTCCTTTTGGGGTTTAAAGTTTCCCAACCATTCTTTTCGTTTAGGGTTTCTGTATCTCCTTCTGCGCTTCGGGTTTGTCAATAGCACCACGGCCCACGGCGCGGCCGCGGCCCGCGGTCTGCATCAGGGATAATTAAGTATATATACTCATACACATGATATACAGTACGCTCGCATTGAAAGCAACAGACCTCGCTTATGACTTAACATGAAGAAAAGAGCTTTAAGTACTGTCTTGCGAAAAAGGAGCCCATCTGTCTGTGAGCATTGGGAAAAGTCCACGAGAGCCTGTTCTTATCATAAAAGGCCGCATCAGATGCTGTTCGCTCAGCAAAAATCCAAAAGAGCAATTGCTTTCAAAGCAGTATAGCCAGTTGTTTAAGTTGAGAAGGGAATATTCTTAGTCCTTGCTGTAAGGCTGTATCAAGGGATGCCGTGTCCTCTTTGTCCGAATCTTTCTTCAACTCTAATCAATCTGCAAAGACCCTCGCAAAACCTGATTGCAAAACCCCGCAAACTTGACAAGCACTTAACAAGCAACATGTAAATCCTGATGAAGATTTTTTACCCAGCAAAGACTGTTGAGGCCACCAAGCCCGGCTGCCTGTAGCGTGGCATAGGTAGATTCGCATGGATCGATGCGGGGCACGTATTTCCTCGTGTTTCGTTGCATGACCTGGAGAATGCCAGAAAGTACTCTTCAGAAAGATTCGCCATTTAATGATTTGCCACTTCTTTGAGGTGGACGAAGATCTCCGCAAGCAGCTGCTGGGAGTTCTCCGGCTTAAATCGTGTTCTTTCGGATTGCCTTGATCTGGCTTTGGAGGGTTCCAAACAGCCAAACACACGGAAGATGTGTTGCGGTCGGCGCTGTGTTCCCTTACAGTCTTTGCTGGTTGAACCCGATGCCCTTCATAAAGAGCTCTACCGAAGCAGGTTCTATGTGGATAACTGTCGTATGCTCGAATTGCGCCGTGCCGCTTCAGCTTTTCGAGCGTAAAACTTTCGACAGCATTTTCCATGATGGTGCAAATAACAAATCTGGCCCTAAGAGCCTGCCAAGGGTGTCGAAAGCCGGTGAGCTTCCGGACTTCTAGACTTTGACATGACGACGATGTCGGCTAGCGCAGCACCTCGTTGCTGTCTTGATGTGAAATATCCCTAGATTCATCTGTGGAGGCAGAGGGCGAGGAAGACAATCATTTTAGTCAGGATGTGGTTGCCATCGCATGTAACTAGGCACACTGAGGTTCCCGAAGTTTGCTTCCTGCTGAGGCTCGAGCCAAACGTGCATCTGTCGCTGAGCTGTTGGAGGTCGCAGAAACCAAGCCGTCGTCCCAGGCTGACGTGGCACCTGGGCTGTTGAGAGTTTTGATGCCTCGGCGTCGGGTTCTGTTCAAAACTAGTGTTATGTGTACACCTACTATCCAGGAATTTGCTTGATGTTTCAGGCTAGGCTAACACGATGCAATCTTAGGTGCTCGTGGATGCCCCTTGCTCCTCGTGCGGCGTTTGGAGGCGGCACCCTTCGCAGCTAGGCCGGAGCTCAAGGCTCAAGAGTTCGTGGTGCACAGTTCCTGACGTTTTCACCTTGAGGAACTCAAATGGCGAAGCCATCAAGATCGAACCTCCTGAGATTCGACGTGTTATGTCACAATGGGAAGTCTAGAGCATGGAAAATCAATGATAGAAGCTTCAGAGGTGGCATTCCACTTCGTCTTGAGTTGAACCATGTTCTATACCTAGCGAAAGACTCTCTGACTGTACCGACTCTTCATCGTGAGCCCCTGAATGCCTCGCATGGGCGACACACTTCATATTGGTGCAAGCTGCTCAACGGTATTCCAGATTTGCAT